GGGCGGTGGTGGTTGGTTGACGGGGCGGAGAAGTGGCCGTCGAGGCGGCTTCGGTTATTTTTTTCGATTACAGTTTTATTGCACCCATCGTATAATATAATAATGTATATGTATAGGAACGGAGGTACTACGCAGTGGAGGTGGTAGTGCTGCAGGTGGAAGCGGTCGCACAGAATGTACGATAAAATTTTGTTATTTTCCAAAAACGAATTATATATTACATTATTATTATTATTATTATTATTATTATTATTATGGTTGTGTTGTATTTTTTTGCAACTTAAATTCCGGTGCTATACTACGGGGCACGCACATAAATTATTATTCCAATCCAACCGGTGGCATCGATCTCGACCCCGCCGCCATCGTGTATTATTGTGATGGAGCTGCAGGTAGGTATTGGTATTCACATCGACCGTGGTATGCGACCGACTGACCGGACGTTTTGAAGTGTAAATTGAAAGCATGACGTATAATATGAGTATAATATTATATTATATGAGGTGTGTTGTGGCGAACGGATATACGTCTTAACGTCCCGATGTTCATTTATAATCACGTAGTGATCAGTGTGATAGAATTTTGCCTTATTCGRAWCCCAAATTTAGAAATCTTTACTAAAGTCATCGTATCAAGATCGTCGATATAGAGATAGATGCGGCTTAAACTATATACGGAGAGTATTTGTTGAGTGATCACAGATCAACGAACCTAACCTAAAAAAGTTGCTCGAAATTGATCACGGTTAACGTCTTGTCTAACATTTAACTAGTCCAGGCTATAATATGAAAAATACCGAATTGGTACTACGATCACCTTGTAATTGACATAATCACAGCATAAGTTTGTGAGGTACAATACGATTTTTTGAAAAGCTCCAAGTCCTTTCATCCTATTATCGGTATACATTATCAATTTTCAACAAATATGGCCACTACTACTAATAATTATACGTCACCGAGCACYCTCTATACACGTATAAATACCACARTGTYATTTAATATTTTATATTATTTCMTCGATAAAAAGCTAAATCGCCATTTTATTGAGATTATTAATTGTTTACGAAAATAGGTTACTCACTCTGTCATCAATCAGCATTATACTTAATACAGCACGCAATTTAATTTCGTTATATATGTATAATAGGTATAATTATATTATCTACCTATAATAATTAAAAATACAGCAAATGCATTCATGTAAATGTGTATAGGAATAGGTTAAATAGGTTTTTTTTTTTTAAATAAATTGAATAATCTTAATGAATAACGATATACACATAAGTAAATATTCTATGTGTTAATAAATGACATATTAAGCGTACATTGATTTTTAATGAAAAATAATTATTTTTGAATTTCTTTTCGTCCTATCATTTTTGAAAAACTAATCGATAAGAATCTTTAGGTCGGAACCGATTCTGAACACTACACTTCAAGCATTTAGTTGAATCAGAAAATGTATAATTAAATAAAATATTTCCAATACTACGCTTTCAACACATTTTTTTTTTTTCAATAAAATACAACGAGTGAAGGCAGTCACTATTTTTAATAAATTGTTATTTTTGTCATAATATTATTTTGATTAAGTACATTGTTTTCTTTTTTTTCAGAAAGTGAGGATGCTACGTCTTGATCTACTGCCGTAACTGAATAAAAAAAAATAAGTACAGGTACGTGAGTTTATCAAAAATAAAAAATAAAAATAAAATAAAATAATGTGACATTTGTAGTAGGTATCTATTTTCTCAATATTTAGTAGATTTATAATATTACTACTTGAATTATAAAATGTACAATGAAATTGAATTTTCGGACGATATCGATTTTAATAAAATAAGAAGTTAATGATATTTAGAGTACCTACCTACCTAGAACGTATAGCTACTTACACAAATATATACATAAGTATGTTATATATACGAAGTATTTTTTTTTTTTTTTTTACTATGAACGCGATGTTGTAAATTGTTGTTATTGAAGGAAATATTGTAGTCGTGAAAAAATTTGTTTTGATCACCGTCTTTTACATAGTCTCTTTTCCAACCTATGAGGATAATAATATATTGTCTACATCTTAAATAGATTAAAATATGAACTTCCTTAATATTGCATTAATCGTAATAAATAATAATAAATCGTTCTAAGATTTTRGCGTTCCCTATCTAACTATAACTGTACCTTATATTTGATATTATTGACGTTTTTGAGCAGAACAAGCGCACTCGATATTATACATAATATTTTAGATATTATAGAACCTGTAATTACAGTTTCTAATAGTTTGATATTGATAGATRAYGTATCATCATTCATGTAGCTATATGCGCTTTCATACACTATGGTACATACTACATACAGGGTGTCCCGTGAGGATTTTACCCATTGCGATATCTCCCGAAATAATGGTGATATCGAAATTCTGGTTTTGTAATAAGACTCACAGGGATAAGAACTATAATTATTTCATATTTTAATTTATT